CCTGTCCTCCAATCTATTTTAATTACTTTTTTGGACACAGGACGGTATCTTGGTTTTCTATTAGACCGAAGACTAACGTGACCATATACAAGACTTAAAGGACAAGAACTTCATCGACGATTCGACCAACTATACAAATCACTGACGAGAAAATATCAACTTTAAACTGACAACAAATTACTCATTTACAAGACAATCCTGACACTTATTTGGCCCTACGGACTAAAACTATGAGGGACAGCAAAATGTACTAACGTCCAACGCATTCAATCCTTTCAGTCCAGAGTCCTTCCAACAATAGTTGATCCGTTTTATGTAACCAACAAAACCCTACACCATGACCTTAACATCCCTTTTTTCTATACCTTATCATAGAAAAATTCTCCAAATTTCACCAGAACTTTAGGTATCATCCAAAACCTTTTGCATAATCCCTATCTAACACCACCCATCCCTAAAATCCCCCAAAAAGTTTAAAACGGCATTGGCCCAGTGACCTTCTGAAGTTTGTATAAATTGGTGTTCTGGCAATGGCCAGATTCTCCACTCAAGAGATGAGTTTATGTGGCTAAAGCGCTTTCATTCAATCTCCACTGGGTGTTTAAGCCAGTGGAGATTGAGTGATGCGGTTGAGAGAGTAGCACAGAGAACTCCTGTTCTCCGAGGGATTCGCTTTTTCCACCAACTATGGAGGGACAAGCCTTCCTCGGAGTTCTCTCACCTGATTGTAAATATTGTATATAGATACGTCTTTGGTGTTCTTTTTTTTTTTTTTTTTTTTTTCAAATTTACTGATCTTTAAGTTATTTTATTTTTATTTACTGTAAATACTTTTTTATTATTATTTAGTCGTTATTACCTTGTGTTTATTTTATATTTGTTTGAATATATAGAGTGAATGTGGTCTCTCTCTATAACTATTGTTCCATTGCCAAAATGTTATATTACTGAATAATAAATAAATAAAATAGAATGTTTTTTTTTTAATTTTATTTTATTGAGATTTAGAACTGTATTACATGGAAAATACAATAAGTAAATGTGACATTGGTAACATGACATGTACAACATGAAGAGAAACTACCCATTGGTAGAACTCAAATAAATAAAATAAAATGTGATATTAGTGTAAGCATTAAGGATTTTAGAATGTTGGACTCAAGTAATGAAGGAAATCGATGGCTTGTATTAGTAGAGCACCGAAGTTCAATCGTTTATTTCAACGTTATTTCAATTATAAACACATCACCACAAGCTACGTAAAAATTAAAAGTGATCGTTAAGATAACGATCAAACAATCTATGTCGTACTTTCAACCTTCATAAATTTCTCATTCAAATTAAAATAAAACTAATTATTCCTTCATCTAGGATATTAACCTATCATTCGTTTATTTATTGTTCTTTTCCCTACGAAAAATGTAGTGATGACTTCTAAATAACGGACCTGCATACTTCAAGCTAGGCAAATATTCAATATTTCACCCTCTTTGTAATGAGCTATTATACAACATTGTATTTTAACAAAACATCGTGTTAGAGAGGCAATATGGGAAGAAGATATAACAAAAAAAACAAAACAATAATAACGACTATTTTGAGTGTCATTCAGTGTTTTTCATGCTCATTGTTTTGTTTTTTCAATCATTTTGAGTGGAAATTTCAATGATGATTTCTCAAAAGACATATCAAAGTCTTTAGTTGATTTTTCGAAGTTTTGTCTGATATTTATCAAATAGATTTCAATTAAAAGCATCCGTCGCATTTTAGTTATCATAAAGCTATTGTTTCTATTCAGCGCAATGTTTACTAGAGTAATTTATACACAATTATTATTGTATATATTGTAAATTTTATTGCTTTGTGAATATAGAACAAAAAAATATTTAGACTTCATATTATTAATCCTGCCTAATTAGCGTTTTCATTTCTATCGTGTGGTATTAGACACGCACTGTGGTTTTTTTTAATGTATTTTTCTTAAGCGGATTTGTCGTAGGATATTTTCTTGCCGTCCTTAGGCATAATCAACCTTTCTAGACGCTCCCATCTCCAAAGATAATGTTTGCTTCACAACGAAAAACTAAGTAAGGATAATTTAAATGTTTATGTGTCCTTGATTGTTTTTGTAATTAGGATTTGTTTGAATCAAAAGATACAGTTTCAATCAAATTATGTCAATCATTAAAAATCGCTTCAATTATAAGTATCAATTATTGAAATAATGATAATTGTTTTTTGTAGCTATTGAATAATTAGGATAATTTTTAACTTAGAAGGTAGTAATGAAAGGCGTCATAGCAATTAAAAAATTTTATTGAGGACGTTTTATTTGTCTTAGCCTTGATCTTAATAGCGTTCTTCAGAGTTGCCAGCAAGGTCAGAGAAACCTAGCAATCATTTTCATTAGTATCTCATGCAAGAAATGAGACCGCATTTGTAATCCTGATTTGGGAAAAAAATATAAATACACCCTGGATGACCGTAATTCGTTTTACGGGCTAACATACGTCTTAACATACAAAAAAACGCTGCAAATTATTTCACAATGGCATATTATTTCCTAATAATTATACATCTAATATAATATTACCTTTCAAGTGGCAAAATAAAAGGTGATTCCAATAATTGGACTAAACTTTTCTTTTTTTTTTTTTTATAATTCAAAAATCAAAAACCAAAACAAAGGATATAACCTTTGCAGTATAACATATTTTTAAAAAAGAGAGACCATATCTTTGCTCCTAATTGTCCGATTTAAACGATTTTTCTTTGTCTTTTAGGAATTTCCGTAAACTTTTAAACAACTATATAATATCAACAAAAAAGTGTATACTTTTTAAGTTATTCGGAATCTAATTTTATCTTCCCTCGTAACTTTTTTTCCAGCTTCTTTTCGTATGTTATATAAGTATATTTAGATAAATATAAAGGGCATCGAGAAGAAGACTTTAGCGAAGTTTCATTGAAATCGGTACATTCGTTTAGGAGCTACGGTCTATAGCAACAAAGGTTTTTTCTGTATTGAAAGGAAAAAGGTGATAGAAATGTTGATGAAGGAGGATCATCCTCGGGTGACCGAATTCTATGTATCCTGAAACGTAAAACCTCAAATTTTAAGAGGGGGTTAAGTTTTTGAATTTTTTTTTTGGATCACAATGGTTCATTATTGAAAATAATAAACCAAAATAATATTATTGTCATATCACAGTAAGCTTCGATAAATTAATTAATAAGCAAGATTTTTTTTTTCTTTTCTTATCATCGAAGGTAAGGAGTGAAGGTAATCGTTTTAATACAGAAAAAAAAACTACGGTTTGTTCTTTAGACACCACGATAGAAGTAAAACATCAATAAGGCGAGATTAATAATAAGGAATATAATTTTTTTTTATATATATATTCACAAAGTAGTAATAGTGTAGAAACTAGTTTTTGTTCTACATTGACAAAATAATAACATTTACGATATATAAAATTAATGTTGTATTTACATAATTACTGTAGTAAGCTTTGCTCTGCTCGATCATCATTTGTTTCATACTCTAAAAATGATAGGTTTATGACAACTGAAATATGTGACGAATACTTTCGATTGAAATCTATTTGCTAAATATCTACCAAAAACTTCGTCATTTTTTTTTATATAACTTCTATAACGAGGTCATAGTCCAGACGATGAATGATTATAGATGGAAATAGAAGGAACAAAATTTTTGACTTTGGGACTTTCTTCTGACAAGTTAGGAGGTAGACATACTAAAAGTATGTATTCATAGATGAGTCATGAGAGAGCACCCAGGAGATCATTTTTTTTCAGTTTGGCGCTTATATCAGGGGGAGCTTATATATAACTATCCATCGCAGTGACAAAGACGTTATATACAAAATTAAATCTGATAAAATCTGCAACAACATTATCGGTATTTACGTTTACGCTATCTCGCATAGTTTCCGAGATATTCGTGCTCAATAATCGCGAATCTGAAAAAACAAATGTTTCCCTATTCATTCTACGATAACGCATGGACGGATCTACGGGGGGAGGGGGACTTTCGGGCTGAAGCCCCCTCTCACCTCCCCCCCCCTCAAATTGCTAAAATATAACCATATTTTATAGAAAAAACATATAAAAAGATTATCTCTTAAAGTATTATTGTTCGTATAATCAAATTTAAAAGGACTTTAGGAATCACTTAAACACCATTTCATATAGGTAGTTAGTTTATTTCTTTTTTTCCAAAGTAATTATCATTATTTTTATGAAAAAAAACCTTTCGGGCTGAAGCCCCCCAAAAATTAAATCTTGGATCAGCTAGTGTGATAACGTGATGAGTTAGAAAGTTGTTAAGCATTAAATTTTCGTTAGGAATGTATACAATTTTACTATATTATCTTCAAAACTTCAAAAATAAGAGCAATTATAATTTAATGCGTAAATTTTGATATTTTACACAAAAAACCTAACTTTCGTTATTGAACTGTTCTAAATCTTAATATAAACAAATATTTACTTATTTAATTTAAACCAAAAATATTTTAATAATACTATTTACGAGATGTTTATTAAAAATCTTACATCCAAATCGTTGTTAACTTTATATTGCATAATCCTATGTCTATTGTGGACCCGAATCTATTAGTACATGATTAACATATGTATTAACATTATATTGTATTAGTAGTGGATCCAAAATTTAATTTATGGAGATTTAATCGATTTATTTAATAAGATAGTTTATTTAATTTAAGACATATCTCACTTGGAAAAATGTTTAATGGCATCTGACAAAAAAATTTGTTTTTTAAACCATGAAATATTCAAGAGAAGATGTATATTATTGGTTGCAGATGTAGGTTTGATAAAGAAGATGGGGAGGATGCCATAAAATCTGAAATTGTAAATTTTTGTCTCAATAATATTCTTTACAAAACATGATAATTTGCAGTGGTTTTGTACAAAAGTTATCTGTGCTTATTCCCAATTTTTTTTCTCTCTTTCAGCGGGGTACATACTCAGTTCATGCACTCAAATGCCAAGAATTGAAGTCAACGGGAAACAGATTTTCCGGTTAGAGCTTGAAGAACCATCACCGGAGATAAAAGAAAAAGCGAGGAGGGAGCTGAGAGAAACTCCTGATATTGTGGAACAGTCCAAAAAAGAACTCCGGGATCTTCTCAGAGGTATGTAATATTGTGCAATTTTTATTATGTTTTTTTTTTTAATTTTATATATCTAGTTAGAAAATGTTTCATAATATATTCATAATACATTAAATAATATATCATATATATATATATATTATTTATATTATAACTGATTTTGAAGTTGGTAAAGCTTGATGAATTTTTATGGAAACTTTTCATTAAAAAAAAGTAGCTTTTTTTTCATGTCTAGTTTCCATATTTTGATTAATACATGAGGGGAATGTTAAACAGCAGGACATCTAGACAAATAAGAAATGCGTGATGTAACAGCTGAAGGACTACTATTCCATGAAAACCTAGTTTTAAATCAGAACAAAAAATTACCTTGTATATTTGATATATGCAAACCCTGATCATTTACTTTTAACATTGAAAATCTCTTTTATATAACAAACTTCACTGCATTTATGAAAATATGCCTAATAAATTAATTTTTGTTTTTTATAATAATTTATTCTGTTATTATTTTAGAAAATATTTTATAACAGTGTGTATCAACATATTTATATTTTTCATTTATAGATGAAGAAGGTTTGATCACTCCTTATGAATACGATCAATATCTAATGCGTTATCTGAGGCCGACAAAGTTCTATCCTGAGAGTGCACTTAAATTGGTAAGAGTAAATTGTACAAAAAGAACAACAAAGAAAATTAATACTATAAAATAATTATTTATATTTCCCACTTAATAATCCCATGGGTCTAACAGGTTTATTTCCCTGCTTCCTTAGAGAGAGCCTTGATTTATTCAAACAGCTTACCTTTGCCCATTCTGAGCCAGTGAGAACCATTCTGCTTCACATTAATTTGTTTATTGCTGAAATAATTTTTGAAATGAATTACTAAATTTCTGAAAATTACTTTTGCATCCATCTTCAAATATGTTTTCTTATTGTGATTGACTTTGTCGATGGTTAATGTTTTTCTCACAAAATTCCAGAATGATTAAATCCAAAATGAGATACCGTAAGATGGGTTAACTTTGTGACTAGGTGGGTAACTTAGGGACACCAAGTAAAATTCAGTTTGTGGTGATTCCGTGGTGGATACACTGTGTTGGTTTAATTCCAAAGTTACACTATCTTAATAGGTACATCCCTCTTAATATAAATAAAAAATTGTGTTCCAATTCAACAGTGTTTTTTCGTTGTTATTATTTGGTTTTAACAACTAAACTAAATTTAATGATTTTTAAAATTGTTGATAATCAATAAACAATAGATGTTGCACAATTATCCTTATTCTTGTTTGTCTTTTTTACAAATGATCTATAAATTTAATACTAATATTGCAATTATTAATCAAGGAATTGATAGTGCATATTACCTTTATTTAAAATAAATTACTTTAAAATTATATTTTAAATGAATCAAAAATAAATAATGATTTTTTTTTCTTTTTACAGATTAAAGATTATTATGAATTCAAAATCAAGCACAAAAATGTTTATGAAGGCTTACTTCCAAGCAAAGAAAAAAATGTATTTACCCATGACATCATTACTGTTTTACCTAAGAGGGATCAAGAAGGAAGAAGAATTCTTGTACTTTCTCTTGGAAGTAAGGATTTTTAAAGTTTCATTATATATATTTCAACAGAAAAATTAATTTTTTTCAAAACCTTTATTAGAAAATAAAATGTATATCTATAAAGAGTAAAACAAAAAAAGAAATTACTCAAAATTCCCCCTTTTGCCTTGAAACAGGCATTTAATCTCCATGGCAAGTCATCTATCACTTATTGAGGAAAGCGCTCAACTGCTTGGACCAGAGATTGTTTGAGGCTTTCCAAGTTAGGGTGTGCTCTGTGGCATGCCATCCTCTCCAGTTGGGACCAAAGCTGATAACCTAGGGGGTTGAGATCAGGGCTTCCTGAGAGCCAATCCGAGGCAGATATGAACTCTGGAATGTTCTTTAGCAGCCTTGTGAGCTGGAGCAAAAGCCTACTGCCATTGACTTCCAGCAAACAGAGTATCATTTAGAGGCTTGATATGAAAGGTTCTAAAATATTGGCCTGATAGTTTTTAGCACTGTTTTAAATCCTTTATCACAAAAATAGAGCTTTGTGGTGTCAAAGCGAATTCCCTACCAAACCATTACTGAGGAAGGGTGATGACCTCTTTCTGCTCTTCCAATGACTTATTGGGCTTCTTTAGAGCTGTGTGCGTACACACGATCATTTTAGCGATTAAATTTTTCTTCAATTGTAAAAATGTTCTCATTGCTAGACAAAATCTTTCGATGAAGACCATTGATATAACGAGCACTTAGTGTCTGTCCACTCTAATTTTTTTTACAGAAGTGCTTATCCTTTGTCCTGTCATTCTTCAAATTGCACCCATTCTAAGGTCACTTTTTATTATGCGAGATATTGATCTGAAAGAGATTCCCATTTCCTGAGACATGATTTGTTGTTTTTGAATGGGATTTCTTCTGATTCGAACAGCCACTGCTCTCACAGACCGGTCGAGGTCTGTCACATACAGGTAGGGTCTCATTATATCCATTTATAGTGCAGTTCTCGAACATAATGCTGATACCCAAAGGTTTCAAAGAGTTGACCTACATTTTTCAACTTTGTATAAGGCGATCACAGCTATTCCGTTTTCTTTATCACCCCACTCCATGTCAAATCAGCGAAAGAAAATACAAATTAGTTGGGATTATTATCCTGACATGTAAAGAAAATAACCTGATAGAAGTAACAGTATTTATGGCAGAACTAGGTATATATATATTTTTTTTTTTTCGTAGCTCTAATAGTATTATTTTAACAATCAAACTATAAAATTTTAATGGGATTATGTAACTGTTATATAATGGAATAATGATTCTCAATTATAATTTTACAAAATTTTTAATTTTATTTCGTGGTAATTTCACAAGAAATTCCTATTCCTCTTATCAATTCCTTAAAATACACTCATTACAGTAACAGAGTTCCTCCACTCCCATTATTTCCCTGAATGTTATCCGTACAACTTATGCGACTTAAAAAAGAAAAAAATACATAATAGCATTGTGGCAGTGGTGGGTGTTCAAAAAAAATAAAGTAAACCAAAACCGCTCATTTTCCATAGACTGGTAAACTTTTCCAACCATAGATTTAAAAGTTTATTCTAATGAAATAAATAAATGCCAAATAGCACTCATAAAACTATATTTTAAAGAAAACAAATTTTAAATACAGTGTTAAAATTTAAAAATAAAAATAGTTCTATCATTCACAATATGAATAAATGAAAAGTAATCTTACAATCGACGGCTCCCAAAATATTCATTAAAAAATGATACATTTAAATTAAATTAAAATTGACAGGATTACAAAATAATAAAAATAAATGTCAATTTTCTATACTTTTCAATTAGAATTATAGTTGATTTTGTAGCTTAAAAAAAATTAATATAAAATTTTTGGCATGTTTTATGCCTTTGTTGGTGCTGGTCATGAACCAATAGTTTTTAAACATTTTGTGCAGGACACTGCACCAATGGGCAGTAATGTTAATACAGTTTAAAAAAAAGTACACAGATGACTCACTGCTTGATTTATGTTGCCTGATTGTCCTTCTGCAGTCTATTGGTCTATTTTATATACCCTAAATATGAATGAGGGAAGTACTGCAACAGTTCATCCAACTTTAAAAAACAAGGAGAGTACTCGCTGCCTGTACTGTCTATTAAGATGTAATCTGGACTGCCCTGGCTACAGTAGGGATTAGGCGAGGGTGCTCAACTAATACCTAACAACGTATACTTATGCAATAAAAATATATATTTGCAACCAACCCATCTTACTATATTATAGGTATTTTTATAATATGAGGAAAAAAATACCGCTGTTTATATAAAATACAATATATCTACCAATACTCATGATTGAGATATTGATCGATGACAATGCATCAATGAAATAAATTAATTACCTTGCTAATTAATTTTAAATAGTTACAAGAGTTAAAATATTTAAATAATTGATTCATAACAATTTCTGCCATAGAAAATATAATATTATTCCCAATTTCCCTGGTCATCTTCTTAGTCTCCTTCCTAAACTCCAGAGCAATCTGTGGATCTGTTGGTATAGATAATCTTTAAAACGGTTACTGAATCATTTTAAGTTTCAATGAAATATCAAGGGAGATACTGGATACAGACAAAAAAATAATACAGAAACACCTTTAAGAAAAAATATATAACAATATTATAACGATGGAAATACAGCTGAATCATTTGAGATTAACCAACTAGATTCAGAAAACCTAGGAAAGTATAAAAAGATTTATGATCATTGATTTCTTTTACTGTGCTCAAGTACTTATATTTTTCTTGAACTGAAAAGTATTTTAAGTTTATTACTTTATTTATTATAAATTACTCAATAGATGGTCTTGATGCAAGAATTTTACAATTTTTAGTATTATGCATTTTTGTCTGCAAAAAATATTGATATTTCGACTGGTGGAAAAATTGAGCTCAAATGTAAGTTACTCCTCTTCCTCTCTTATTGTAAATGGTGTGAGAAAGATTACATCTCAAACTCTGTTTCCATTAGTGATATAACTACTGGTTGCAATTTTATTCTGAGTATAACAAGAGAATATATAATAAGAAGAGTAGCTCAGTGGGTTGGGCACTGACTTCCAAAGTTCAAACTCCCAGGTTCAAATCTGGCTGATGACAGATAAATTATTTATGATGATAATCAGCCGTGAATTGACCCTGGGCTAAGGAGACCATTCTGGTGCATACCGAGCCTCTATAAAGTGAGTACTCCTAACTAATTAATTAATTAAGGAGGAAAGCCTTGCAGTTGAGCTTAATCTTGGTCAAATCACCTCCTTGCACAACCGTTGACCAAGAAACAGTACTTCACAACATAGTACTGAACCCAAGACTCTTCATGGGTTGAAGTAGTACTAGTTTTTTTTTGTTAGCATTTTTTATAATTATATTTAATTTTACTTATAGAGAAATGGAAGCACAACAAGGTTTCCCTTGATGAAGTTTACAAAGCAGCTGTAATGTTTTCTGAAGCCGCAGCTCTTGAACCTGAAACTCAGATATGTGGAGCACAAATTATTTTTGACATGGATGGACTTTCCCTTCAACAGACATGGCAGTTTACCCCTCCTTTCGCTAAAAGAATAGTAGATTGGCTACAGGTAAAACATTTTAAATAAAAATGTTCGTGCTTAATTAATTCATACTATCATCAAAAAAACATATAAAAATATACAGGGTTTTTAATTTATCATTGGATTTGTATAAAGTAAATATGGAAGATTTTTGTTCCATAGGTGAATCCCTGAAAAAATATTTAACAATTATTGTTTAGTTATTGACAAACAAATAGTTAACATTTAATTATTTCCAATCAGTGGTACTATTGTAATCTAGAAATTTGGTACATGTAACAGGGATATTAAGTAAAAGTATGGATGAGGAACAAGAGAACTGGTCTCTGTGACATTCAATTACTGTTTTAATCCATCTCTAATTAAAATGTGAATACAGTAGAACCTAAGGATTGACCCTCTGGAACATTGGAAGTTGTTCTGGCAGAACTAATTCATTTTTTTTTAAATATTTTAATGAAAATTATCATAATAATAATCATATACTATTGAACATAAATATATAGTATTTGAGAAGTTAGTTCTGTATTGCAGTCAGTCAGAAAAACAAATAAGTATTATTAAAAAATTATTATATTTTGTACTGACATTTTGGCCTAAGTTTCAGGCCTTCATCAGAGCTAAGGAAGGACAAGATAATAACAAAAAAATTATTAAACAACTATTTTAAAAATATATAAAGCCAAAATATATATTGTCTGCTAATAAATAAATATTAAGAATTTGATTGAAAATTAATTTATATAAGTATAGTATGGAATAGTTAGATATTAAAATATAATAATAGGTACTATGTTTTTTAAATTCAACGGAAGATGATAATGGATTGTGTAATACAAGAGAAAAAAATATTTTTATAATTAACAATGAAAGAAAATATGAATGAAATGAAATATTAAGTAACATAGATAAATCAGAGAAATAAGCAGCAAATAAAATTAATAAGATGTAATTTTTATAAGCCATACGATGTTAGATTTAAATAATTAATATTTTATTCTAAATTTATGTTCCTTATTATTGTTTTATTTATTATCATTATATGTTTATTACATTTCTAATCAACATATTATGGCATCAACTTATAACAATTACCACATGTTATTTATTTTATGTGCTACGTCTTTCCTATTTATCTAAATTACTTAATATTCTATTTCATTCTTCTGTTATTTCATTACTTTATTAGAGTTACTTTGTCACCTTTTAGGTCATTATTTTGTTACCGTATTTTTATAACTTCCTATTAAAAAAAATATATATATATATATATATATATATATATATATATATATATATATATATTGAGTTTTTATTATATTTTATATATTACATATTTTCTATTCACTAGTTATTAATTTCACATTTCACTACTTTACAAGTCTTATTTAATTATAAATTTGTCTACATATATTACACAATTCATTATCCTCTTCTTATATTAAATTTTAAAAATGTACTACTTATCATTATATATTACTAACATTTTTAAACCTAACCATTTCATACAATACATGCATATTTTAATTTTTAATTTACTTCTTAGAATTTATTTATTAGTAGATCGAGAGAACATATTTACAATATTTTTATAATAATATAATTTTTATAATATATATTTTTTTTATTATCTTGTCATTCCTCAGCCCTGATGAAGGCCTGAAACTTATGCCGAAACGTTGGGACAAAATAAAACATATTTTTTTTTTTTACTTGAGTTCTCACAAACCGTCTACAATCAACTATTTTTTCACAATTATTAATATGTCACTTTCTTATTCCAGGACAGTATACCACTTAGGATCAAAGGACTTCAAATAATTAACCAGCCGTACATATTTAACATGGTGTTTGCACTGTTCAAGCCCTTCTTAAGGGAAAAGCTTAAGAGCAGGGTAAGTAATAAATATATTTATTTCGAGCATAAAGATTGTTTTGTTTTTTTCTATCCAATAGTGTTTATTTATTAATAAATTAGGTTAATAAGGCCACAGTGTCCATTTTTTCATTAAATATTGTAGTAATTAAGAAACAAATTTTAATAGCCCAGAGTTATGGAAAATTGGCTACTCTAGAAAATACAAAAATTAACATGTTTTTCTTTACCTCCTGGATATAGATATTTATTTAGATATAGATCATTACTATCTCAAATTCAATAGATATAAATCCCTTTTAAAGTATGGTATTAATCTTCAGTTTATATCCTGTGCTATATTTAAATCAATTGCTTTTCTTTATAAATAAATTTGAATGACTTTAATTAAAATGAAGCTGATGCTCATATAGATTCATATTTACCTCATCTAATGGTATAATTTACCAATATTAACTAGACATTATTTCACATGAAGGCAGAGTTTCCTACTCAGAGCAGTGTGAATTCAGTTATCACATGGGTTAGCTAATATTTCTTTTGTGATATTCTCAGGAATAAATTTTGATAATATCACTATGGTAGGAAAAGGGTAGAAACCTCTAATTACCCCTCAGAAATTGGTGAAAAGGAACAAAACCATTTTTGTTGGACTAGTACCTCCAATTACATAAGTTGTGCTATTCATAAACTTCTATGTTCTTGTCCATCAATAAAAAACGTTAATAAATTTTCAATAAATAAACTGAAGTTTTTTGGTTGCTAAGTAAAGTAGATCAATAATTTTGTTTCCTTTTTTTTTTGTAATTATTAGTGTTTCTTTGTTACTCTACAAAAATAATTACATTTTTACATCTATTATAAACCATATCATGACCATTAGTCAAATAAAAAAAAAGATGCCACTACAGCCTATGAAGGTTCTTCAGTTCAATACTTTGTACAGAAGAAATGGCTATATGCCAAAGATTGTACCAGGAGGTTTGACCTTCAAAGAAGGATTTGACCTAGATTACATTCAAATACCAGATTCTTTACCTTAATTAAGGGTACCTATTCTATAGAAACTGGGTGTTCTCCTGATTCCCGCTGATGTAACAGAATACCTAAATATCATTGCTGGACAGGCACCTGGGCTAAGAGAATAGAAGCACAGTGCCTTAACCACTGAGCAAATTTGCTCCTTGCCATAAATGATTTATGTTAAGTTATTTTTCTTATGGATACTCAACAACTGAGGTCTTTAGTATTTGTAATATATATATATATATATATATATATATATATATATATATATATATATATATATGCCATATTTTAATTTCTTGATATGGTTTTCATTGGAAATAAAGAGAAAAAACATAATAATCACTTAAGAATTGAAAAAAAAAACATGTACCACTAACAATCCATGGGTTGACAGTACAATATGAAGTACTGTTACAAGGTCAAAAGTTGTGCAGGGAGGTGATTGGCTAATATCAACCACCAGGTTTTCTCCCTTAATTAATAATGTAATTAAGAGTACCCACTTCATAGAGGCTGGGTTTGCCCCAAGACGGTCTCCCTGTACAGAGTAGACCTACGGCTAATGAAAAATTACTAGTCATCAGCCGGGTTCGAACCTGGTACTTTGAGCTCTGGAAGGCAGTGCTCACCCATTGAGCTACCCCACTCACCACTTATGAATTAGTTATTACAAAACAAAACAACTAAGTTTTGGTTTTAGAAAACATTGCAACACAAAGATTATTAGTGAAAACTTATGTGGAAGACCAAAACCAAGAAGCATGTAAAAGCATTAAATGCAAACAATTTATGAAAATAGAACAAGAAACAGTGGAGTATAATAGTTTTAAAAAAACAAAAAACAATTATTATCTGACTCCTAAAATATCTTAATTAATGTAGTGAACTCCAAACCCTGATTTTGATATGAAAACGAAGAATTAGTGTTTGAAGTTTAATAACTTGGATTTTATCATTACTCAGTTCAATGTCATCAGATCAATGAGTTGATCATATAATGTTATCATAAACAGTTTCATTATTAGCCAACCGCTAATATATTTGTTGTTACTCATTATTGCTATAATAAGTTTTAACAATATATATATAAGTACATCACTGATAAGTCATTTACACTGATTCTATCCCCATTCTTAATCATCAAATGTATGAATGAAACTTATATACTTCACCTAATTAGCATCAACATTATACATAAGACCAAGGTCGTCAACAGTCGAGTCAAAACAATACAGCTGGTCTCCTGCCACTTCATTTTTCATGGATTAATTTCATTAATATATGGATTAAAGTATTATGAGTTTTTTACTCTCAATTTCCTTTAAATGTCCACATCAAAAAGAAGAAAATAAGAAACTTCCTAATGATACTGATATAGTTTAGTTAAATTATGATATTAATAATTAATAAAAAATCTTCTTATTTTGGTAAAAGTTTGAATAATCTGATAAAAAGGTAAGGTTCTAACCTAAACTCTTAAAGACATTTTATTTTATCTCTAAAACATAAAGAGGTAGGAGCGGGGTGACTTGGTGGATAGGTCATTGATTTCTAGAGCTAATTATTTATTCTGTTTCATTGGTCGTGCATTGACCCTGGGGTTGGGAGACCCTCTTGATGCACATTTGTATAATAAAATATCATATTTTTGATCATTATCTTGCTGAAAAATAAAGTTCAGCTTAAGCCCAGACAGTATGAAAGAATGCTGTGTTACAATTTTTCATCCAATTTACCATCAATTGGACAAGGGGTTTTTGTCAGGGCTCCTCCACACTCTCTCCAACCCTTTTCTTCATTTATATTAACGACCTTTCTGACTCCATTCATTATCTGTATGCAGACGATTTCCAAATTTACTTATCGTTCCAACCTTTTGAGATGCATGAAGCTACCCAAAAACTGCAAGAGGATATTGACTGTATCCACAGGTGGGCAGAAAAAAATAAACTGAAGCTGAACGCAGATAAAACTAAGGCTATCCTCATCGGTTCTGGGCATCTCATTTACCCTTCTTTTCTCTTCTCTACTTAACCTCAATAACCATCCCATCCATTTCTTTCTGACAGTCAAAAGCCTCGGAATATTCTTTGATCAGAGCCTCTCTTGGAATAACCACATTTTCTAGATTACCCTTAAATCCATAACAATTCTTATGATTCTGTGATTCTATTTCAGAAAAAAACAGACAGCTCCTTGTAACATTCCTTGTTTTCTCCCACTCTGACCACAGTTGCTTGGTGTATGGAGGACTGTGCACAAGACTAGAGGAGAGACTGAAGAAGCTTATGAATAACTCCATAAGATTTATCTTTGGGATTCCTAGGCGTTCCCATGTTTCCAGCTTGTACACTGAGTTGAAGTGGCTCTATTCTGCTTCCCAACAGCAGTTCCTTCTTGGTATTTTCCTTTTCCAAGTCCTCAGAACCAAAAATCCTCCTTACATCCTATGACAACATACTCTATATTCCTCTATTCACTCTCTTAATACCAGATCTCAAGCTATTGATCAATATACTCCCTCCTATAAAACCGCTTCCTTCAGCAAAGCCTTAATCATTTGTGGTACCTCCTTTTGGAACTCCTTACCGGTCTCCATACATCAAACCACATTCACATATTCCTTCAAACAACTCTTATTCCACCACTTGCTATACATTCAATCTTCCGCAAGCTTATAAGAAATTTTAGGCTATATAACTACAGTTACTCACCAGCAGTTAATTGATAAGAGCTATTTTATTTTTATATAGTTATTTTTCTCTCATTATTTTTTGTATATATTTGTGTTTTTGTATATATTTGTATTTTCATTAGTATTTCTTGTAAATATTTGGAATTTCCTTAGTTTTTTTTGTTTGTATTCATCTGTATTATATCTAACTGCCAGACTGATGTACATATTTTTTTTTTTAATTATGCTATTGTTCTAAAGGGACTTGAGTCCCAGAATAAAATTTTTTTTCATTCATTCATTCATTTAATTCATAAGAGGTCTCTAACTCCAGATTTAGACACAATCCCAAACCATAAATTAATCACCTCAAATAGCATCAGCTGTTTCCCGAGCCAGTTCTCTGCTAGATTTTTAGTGCATGTGCAAACAAAATTATTTTTGATGTTTTTTAGACATGCCTAAACGTTTCAACTCTCCAGTTTGCTTGGTTTTTTAAACATTTTCGATGTCATGATGAATTCTAGAAATATGACATTTAACTTCTTTTTGAATATCCCTGATTGTAAGTCTTCCTCAATGCAAAATTATAACTTTGTGTTGGTCAATGATATGTTATTTTGCCATTTTCTAAAATTGAAGTAACATTAAATAGAAAACAAAAAGAAATTGTGAAATATTGAATGATAAATTAAATTACTGAAAAAAATGAAGAATTCCAATATTGGAATAATGTTCACAGATACTCTCAACTTTCAAGAGTTTATACAACGACTCTTGGCATTAACCATAAAGGATAAAGACGGAAGTGGATAAAAAAAGTAGTTAAATTTAAACAATAAGGTAGCATTATTCAGAGGACAAAAAATGTCAATACCACAGATTGGTCCTTTGGCTTTTTCTTAATTTAAAATAATGCTAATTGAAATATATATTACACCTATAATATCAGCAAGGTTAAATCAGTTTACAATCAAGAAGAAAAAACCACTTTTAAATTGAAACATTTATCATTTTTATAAAAATTTGGGTTGTTTGAGGACTTTTTCAATCACTGTATATATATTTATACGCAATTATTACATTGAAAAAGTAAATGAAAAATTATATTCCTCCTTACTTTGTTAAGATTGGTTGTATTCATTTGATTGAAATTTGTTTTATTCATTTACATTTAGATCATATTCCATGGATCTGACAGGAAATCACTTCACCAACAATTAGACCCATCATGTCTTCCAGAAGAATATGGTGGTACCTTGGATATTCCTTTAATCCATGGCTTGGAATGGTATGATATGCTCGTGAGAATGGAACCAGAATTCGAAAGTATGTTTATTTTTCATTTTATTATAATTTAAGACAATATATTATGGATCTCAGACAATATAACTTCCATATATGTTAATGTTGTCTAAGAATAAAACTGGACCATAAAATGTATGCATAATAATTTTTTTTTTCCTTTAGAAATCAACGCCTATGGATGCAAGAAAGGTGCCAAATAAGAATGCAAATATTTAAAAATAATCAAAAAATATTCAAGTAGTGCCAATATTGTTTGGAAATTCAAACATTTCTAAAATACCTTGGAAGTAAATTGTAATGACACCTAATTTTAGGTATTTATAAGTTAATTCTTAAATCATCTATCTTCCATGAATTTATTATAACTTTATTATTCATAATCCTTAACAGTATATAAATGTTCTAGAGTAGAATAGCAAAAATAAAGTATTTGAAAATTAAACAAATACATCACAATTATATTTAAAGGTGTAAGGTATGACCATACTCAATGTTATAAAATTATTTTATTAGAACTAGTAATAATTATGCAAGCATATGGTGAATATTTTCTTTATTAATCTGATAACTTTATTATAACTATTTTTTTAATGATTAGTCATTTTATATAGTACAATTAAAAACCTTTTATTCATGAAATATGATAATCAGAATTGATACCATATACTTGCATATCAATCAACTTTATTTCATTTATATAATATATATATATATATATATATATATATATATATATATATATATATAAATATATATATATACATATATATATATGTATATATATATATATATATATAATATATATATATATATATAAATATAAATATATATATATATATATATACATACATACCATGAAAAATATATTTATAATCAAAGCAATCTGTGGTATTAATTGTAGGTTATTGCATAATATTGATTATGCAATTATTAAATTAAAAATAATACAATGTATTTTTTTTTAATCAAGCATTATATCTATCCTGTATAGTCTTCAGACTTGTGTTTTCAGTTGAACATTGTAATAATTTCTTAAGCATGTATTTGTTATTATTTAGTTCACTTTAGGAACATATTAATTTCAAACCATTATTCTAAATTTGTTTAATTTAAAAAACTATCATACAGAAATACTGTTAATTCAGCACAAGCCAAATATTATGGCAAAAGTTTATTTTTTTGTTTTGCGGAGAATAAAAATTACAAACTACCACATCAAAAGACAAAAATAAAATCATGACGTATCTGATAAAATAATTAAATTCATATCAATAGTAAATACATTAAATAAAATTACATTGTTGTATTTTTTACAAGGTTCCCTACATATTGTTAATGTAGCATTTATCATATTTTTAAGGTATTTAAAAATAAATTTATTTCTTTATAAATATATTTGTAATCAACTATTATCTGCTCAAATTATGTTGTATTTTATTTTATATATATATTTTATATATGTACATATCTGTTAACTTGTTGATTATTTAAAAGCTATATGAGAAAATTTATATAATAATTTTATTCCGTTTTTCTGTGATCTATACTTTTGTCAAATCAAAACTTATATGCATGGTTATTCCATTATCGGTGTATTAATTAATATGAATGTAAATATTCATTAGTTTATGAAATAATGAATAAAAATATTATTGTTTTTAAGGTGACTTTTGATTTATTTCCTGCAATCAAATTATGAAAGTGACTGATTATTTATGCTAAAATGGTAGCTGTTTAACATTGATAATAAATTAATTTACATAATTTAATAAAGTACAACTATAACATTGAAGGAGAAATTTTAAACTTAGCAAGGTTCAGTAAATGACTCGTTCAGGGAATGAATGGACCAGCAATTGACTACAAACAGACAGGGAAACATATTTCTTCCTTGATGTTTAACAAATAAAATAGGAGTGGGAATTTTCAATTCTGAGCTCTCTGATCTCTTTAAACTCTCACATAAATACAAAGCTTTCTTAACTTGGAAGTACATCATATCAACAATGAGAGGAAAGTTAGAGTATAAACAGTATTATCTTTATAGTTTGATATATTTTAATTCAATAAGTCAATGACATCTGGGGAAGAACCAATGGCATAAATGGGTATGAATGATTTGAGCAGTGGCACACATCCCCCACCTCACCCACTTTCAAAATCAGTGCATTTCAGCTTCAATGTATTTCGAATTCCGAGTAATGCTACAAATAATAATTTTGTACTGCTGTATCCTAGAACTATTACAAGCAACTAGAACTTTATTTCTAGAATTATAATAAACCAAAGGAAACCATGTTTATTAAATTATTTTCATTCTGCATTTGACAACATTGTGCTATCCCATGTTCGATCATTTTATTTTTATATTTTTGAATGAAGGAACATTAATAGTATATAACCATTAAATACTAAATTTACAAGTTTAAAAATTTAATGAATCATTTTCAGTAGACATCTTATTACACAATAGTTATTCTAAAAATAATAATAAAACTTGTTGAGTTTTAGACCAATCATAGACCATCAGTTTTCTCTATTCTCTGCTGCTGCCTTCTTTATTATAACAAGCATATCAGCAGCCATGAATTTTTCCCAGCAGAACTCAGATATCCAATCAAACCAATACCATAGATTTGTTCTAAAAAGATCCTGAAAAGTATTCTTGCAACATGATCATTCCAGCAAAGTCTTGGTACCTTTATAAATGTGGATAAATCCAATTCATTTAATACAGCAATCTTCCTTCTCCAGATGCCATCCTCTTATATTTGATGGAGCACTTTCCTTTCAAACCTGAGGAGAACTTGCTCTTAGGATATTGTCGTAATCCAACATTATGAATCGTATGTAAGTATAGACTGAATTATTGTTTATATTTTTGGACAATTAATCACTTCTTAGATGTTTTTGTGAGAAGAAATAGGTGTTGTGTCCTCAGAGGATTCATCTTTAAATTTTTTCCTCTACACTGTTCACGTGATTCATCTGAAATTTCTATTATATAAAACATTGCATTCTTTCAAATCTATTTCTGTGCAGGTACGATTTCGGAGACTTAAATAATCTACAGCCTCCTTCAATCATTTGAAAGACTACTATTTTATTCATTAAAAGCAACTTCTATCTGCATATTTTGTTTTGTCATATATATTTATTAAACAATTTTTTATAAATTAAATACAATTGCTAAATACAAACAAAGTCATTTGTTGTGGTTCAGCTCTGAATAAGAAAATCAAATAAATTTCTTCTTTTTTTTTTTGTTTAATTTTTAAAAATAAAATTTAGGTGCATGAAGATAATAAATCTTAAAAATATTCTACTGTTATCAGCAATTGATAAGTCAATGACATGCAAGGACAATTAAACACACTTCAATGAATTTATCTAATCAAGCTAACAATTTTATAACAGTTGAAGAGGTCCCAAGACGAATAATTATATTCACACAAAAATCAAATAGATAAAAGTATAATATTTCACTATAATACATAATAAAAGTTTACAATTAGATGTTTACAAAAAATTTCTATTAAACCTTTAGACAAAAACGATGAAAAGTATTAGGGATGAAAAAATTTAAGATATAAAAAAAAAAAAATTATAGGACATTAAATCTCCTTTCTCACAAAATTTAAGTTGTCAAAATACTTTTCAATTCGGTGAAAATAAAAAAAATATATATTCCATAGTAAAAATAGCAAAATCAAAAATGTAAAGAAAAGAAGAAAAATCATATTACAAATAATTATTCTCGCAAGAAATAACAATCATTATGAAGAAAGCTTGAATATTATTGAATATTCATTATGATGATTAGCTGATAAAGAATTTAAAAACATTGATTGAATCATTGTAGTATACCGAGTTATAAAGTATAGTGGGATACTGTTAAGGAGAGCATTGCAGGATTCAATAGTCACACGAAATAAATCTTGCACCATTTAATGAACCATGGATGGAACATAATTATCTTTCCACAGACTCAAATGGATTAAAACCAATTTTTCTTAGTACATTACACTTTCTTTTACATTTTTTCACAATAACCAAGATGGGAACAATACTTATTACAATTCAATATTATTGCTCATTCCTCACATATGCCACTGCAATCTCAATTTTTACAAAAAATTGGCTAAAACCATACTTCTCCACAACTCATCAGTTATAAACAGTTTTGTGAATATAAAATACTTTCGATAACTTATTTTGTAATTGTACTTGAGACATACATAATATTTAAGAACAGATGAAGAATATGTATTACATGAGGCATTATAGGATTGTGGATATCAAGGACAAACTTGATATGCACAATTATCTACTGAACAGATTGGATCCAACCCATATATATTTTTGTTTGAGGGGTTAAACACTTATTGTATATGAGAGAATATCATTTTAAGTTAAGAATTGGGAAGGGCCAAAAATAAATGTAGTAAAATAAAACCTGTACAACATTACAACCATAAGACTTTAGGTACCTAACATTGTTCATAGAAAAAAAAATGTAATATAAAAATACAACTGAAATAATATACAAGGTGATCCAGATAAGTATAGACAAAAAATACCATCAATTCTTCATTGAAATGAATATATATATATATATATGAATATTTCCTATTAAGCAATCCCCAAACTTTTCTGAGGACATATCTGTAGATTATTAATCTAGTGGTGATATCAATTTGTTTGTGTGTTTTTTCAGATGACATTTTTAATATTTATGTTTTGAAAAAGGAGAACTTTTTAATAAATAAAAAGTTTATTTTATTAGTAGTTATAAAAAGTTTATTTGATAACTTTTAATTAATTTATTAAAATACAATCCTGGTCACAGAATAAAATGAATGAAAGGTTTATAATAATTTATTTTAATTATTTTTTCTGAAAATCCAGTTATTCATGAGACAGGATTCCACAACACATAATGTCTTGACCAAACTGGATGCAAATTTCAGCTTATCCTGTAGCAAACATCAACTAAATCAATATAAACTATAAGATTGTATATAAACATAAACTATATAGAATAGAATAGAATAGAAGAATCAACTTTATTCTGGGACTACGTCCCTTGAGAATAACAATATTGTACATAAAATTAACATTACATCTGGCCAAAATGTATATTACAAAAAACAAATACAAACAAACAAACAAAAAAAAAACAACTAAAAAATAAGGGATA